GGTTGGTCTGGATCGGGTCAGTTGGGGTCGGTTTGTCGCGAGGGCGAACAGGAGACGGCCTCGTGGCCTTGGATCGAGACTCGGGTGATCTGAAGGGGGAGAAAAAAGGTCATGACATGATATGAGGGCAGGGCAGGCTCTGTTCGCGTCTCTCTCTCTGACTGTCGCCCTCTTCTTCTGCCTATCCCCGAGCTTCCACGCTTCCACTATTGCTGGCGTCAGTCAGTCAATCCCGCGAGATGCAGCACCTTGCACCTGGCACCTGCTCCCTGCACCAGCACAACCACAAACACCAGGGAGCAGCCCGTCTCCACGTCCACGGCCTGTCCTCAGCCGCTAACCCGCCCCGTCTAGCCCCATGCGGCCTAGTGCATCTCCCGGAAACCGTTCCTGTTCTGCGTCCCCCCCCTTCTGCCACCTCCCCAAAAGGTACGATCTGTTAGGAAAGCCTTCAGTGGATTGCGGCCATGCCAACGCGTAGCAACCGGAATCTGGGCATCACTCTGTTTCACACATGCCTCGCTCGGATACTTGACGTTCACCTTGCAAGCCTACGTCTGCTGTCTCGGGATGGACATTATGGCAGCAGGGGAGCCCCCTAGGATGCGCGATCCCAAGGTACCTACCAGCCTGGGACCTGACTGGCGATGGTCTCAAAAGTGGGCTTCCACTCGTTCGCCTCCCAACGCCCATTTTCTTCCGCCTCTTTGTGGCCGCGCGCTGCTGGCCCGGAAAAGAACCGGCCCACGATGCCACATCCCCTCGCCTCTGTCGCATGAGCAACGTGTTCCATGGTTGCCCGTGTCAACTACTCACTCCCGATGCACAATGCATGAATATTGTCATCAATGAATTGACAGTCGGTACCATGCCCTCAGATCGCGCTCGGAATGTATTGCGTCGCCAAAGGCGGATGCATCTCGCGCCTCCTGGGTTGTGCGTCCCAGCCACGGTGCAAACTCGCCCAACCGTGCCGGAACGTCTCGCCCTCGATCCCTCACAGCGCCCTTCCACGGCCCCAATCCATCGGGAAACTACATTTTCACCGCTCAACTTTGTGGTTTCATCGCCAAAATCATCATCCCCCGTCGCTTTACCGAGATTTCACCCCCATCGCCCCGGAATGACCCTGATGTGCTCCCTTGGCGTAGAGACGACCACCTCACGACGGCCCGCCCGCACATTCGTGCCCCTAGGCTCGCTCACAGCTACGCAGCCAGCTGCCAGCAGGACCTGGCTAGCTGGCACAGTGCCCCGACTCCACCATTCCCTGCTTTTCCACCACCGCCCCCCTCTTCCGTGGCCTCAGGCTGTCCTCTGCTCTGGGAAAAATTCATTCTAGACTGCACACACACACACGTGCGTCATCCTCCCATATGCGCGCGCGCAAAAATGCTGGGGACGGGGCTGCCAATTTTTCCTTCCGAGGCTGCACCACATCGTACAGGCAAGCCCGGCTCTTCCCAGCTTGCCAGGCAGGGCTCCGCTCCCAGCCCAGGAATACGGGGAAGGTTCGGCATCACGGTTCTCTTGTGTCACGCATGTCACATGTTGAGAGTTTCTCATACGTGCTGGCGCCGCACAGCGACAGGAGACACAGACGCCCTTTGCAAGATGCACACGAACGGCCTTGCATGCACTGGGAGCCATAGGGCAAGACGGTGTTGGCACAAGGGCACATTCGGCCAAGTCAAGCAATCGAAAACATGCATGCATTCTATCTATGCCGAAACCCCCTCCCAAAGCCTTCAGGATGCCCTGACGCCTCCCCGAGCATCCTCTCGCGCGCGCGGACCGCCAGTCTCGGTGCCAGCCCGTCCGCGCGCCCTGGTGAGCCTCGACCAGATGAGCGCTCTTTTCAGGAACCTTTTTTCTCCTTCTTTCGCTTTTCCGGTCGTGATCGTTCTTTGCTCATCGTCTCTCTTCTTGGAGGCTTCTCTCGTCTCTTCATCGTTTGTCTGCAAAACGTCCCCTCACTCACTCTCTCTCCGCTTAGACGGCACCGGCCGAAATCATCTTCTTGCGCAGGTAGTTCTTGTACTCGCCTATCGTGCCGTCCCAAGGCTTGATGGTCTTGTTCTCGCACACCAGAATCTGCTTGGCAATCTTGTCGAGGAGACTGTGAGACGTGTTAGCAAACGTTGGACCAGAAAAGACGCAGGTGGCCAGGAAGCATACCGGAAGTCGTGCGACACGACGACGACACCGCCGCTAAAGGCGTTGATGGCGTCGGCCAGCGAGTCAATGGTGGGAATGTCGAGACCGTTGGTGGGCTCGTCGAGCAGCAGCATGTTGGGGCTCTCAATGGCGAGCAGGGCGAAGACGATACGGCTCTTCTGGCCGTCGGACAGGGTGCCGATGAGCGAGGTCTGCGACTCGCCCGTCAGGCCGTAGCGGCCGAGCTGCTGGCGCCAGTACTGGTAGTCCTGGGACTTCTCCGAGTACTTGTCGCGCACAAAGTCGAGGGCCGACTTGGTCATGTCGAGCTGCTCGGCCGAGTGCTGCGAGTAGAGGCCGAGCTTGAGGTGGGTGTGGCGCGTGACGGAGCCGTTGGTAGGGGAGAGCTTGCCCGTCATGAGACGCAGCAGGGTCGACTTGCCGACACCGTTGGGGCCGACGAGGGCGGTTCGGGAGTCCATGTCGAAACCGAGGTCAATGTTGCGGTAGAGGTCGTCCTTGGCGTCACCAGAGTAGGAAAAGGTGACATTGTCAAAGGACAGGACGGGGGGAGGGAGCTTGTCGACGTCGGCGAAGCGGAAGGTGAAGACGCGGTCCTGATGCACGGGCTGGATGAAGCCGTCGGCCTCCATCTTGTCGAGAATCTTCTGGCGCGACTTGGCCTGCCTGACCAAGTTGGCGTAGGTACCGGCAGAGGCGATGAACTTTTTGATGTGAACAATCTCGTCCTGCTGCTTGTGGTAGGCCTTCATCTGGTTCGTCTCCAACTCGGCCCTCGTCTTGGCGTACGAGTCGTAGTTACCACCGTAGTAGATGAGCTTCTTCTCACGCATGTCAATCATGTTGGTGCAGACACCGTTGAGGAAATCCTCCGAGTGGGACACGAGCACGAGGGTGCGCTCCCACTTCTTCATGTACTCCTCGAGCCACACGCAGGCCTCGAGATCCAAATGGGCCGTGGGGTCGTCGAGCAGCAGCAGCGACGGCTTGACGAACAGCGCCTTGGCCAGCGCGACACGCATTCTCCAGCCACCGGACATGTCCTTGGTCTTCTTGTTGATGGTCTGCTTGTTGAAGCCGAGACCGGTGAGAATGAGGGAGGCACGGGTGGCGAAGGTGGAGGGGTCCATGGACTCCATGTGCTGCAGGCGGTCAGTCTGGATGAAATCTCCGCCAGAAAATGACATTTTGGAAAGGCCCAAAAAAAAGAAAGAAAAGAAAAAAAAAATTAAAGCAGGCAAGCTTACATCGTAGACGTCCATGAGGACAATGCTCTCGGGACCCTCGTCCTCGAGAATCTGCTCGGCGAGCTTGTCGAGACGCTCCATCTCGCGCTCGGCCTCGGTGACGACCCACTCGAGGGCACCCAGGTCGGTGGGCGGGGCACCCTCGTTCAGCAGGTAAATGTCAATGTGCTCGGGGATGGGGAACTCGCGGGCGGCGATGGCCTTGAGGAGGGTGGACTTGCCGCAGCCGTTCTCGCCGAGGAGGCCGTAGCGGCGGCCGTAGGACAGCTCCATGGTGCTGTCCTGGATGAGCTGGCGGCCGTGGAAGACGAGGGAGGTGGAGGTGATCTTGACGTCCTTGGAGGTCTGGGTCGAGGCCAGGACGCCGGTGGTGACACGGTCGGAGATGCCGTGCTTGTCCATCTGGTCGGCGAGACGCTTCACCTCGTCGGCCTTGTCGGCACCGGTGGCGGGGCCATCAGGCTGGATGGGCTTGCCGTGGGCGTCGAGCTCGGGCTCGTCGCCGTTGACGGAGGATGCGGCGGTGCTGGCGTTCTTGGAGCCGACACGCTTGGCGGCCGTCTTCTTGTCGAGCTTGCCCTCGGCAGCCTTCTTCGCGAGACGCTTCTCCTTGGACGCGGAGGGGGCCATGATGACGGGTTGTGATGTGTGGTGCTGTGTGGTGATGTGTGTGTTTGTCGTTGCAGGCGGGGTTTTGGGTGGGATGGCGGGGCAGGAGGAGAAGTAGGAGGGGTATCAGAAAAGTATGCGCGCGGTCGTCGAGACTGTACGCTGCGTTGGCAAGGCCGTCGAAATTCCCTTGCGTTTGATGTAGCAAAGGAGAATGAAGCCTCCAAGGAATGCCCGAATGATGGAAAGAAAAAGGGCGTATCGGGGGATGTTGGACGGGAGGGAGTCGTCAGGTCTAGGGCGGTGCGAAGAAGCACCTCAAGAATGATTTCAGGCTGGCAAAGGAAAAGGTGGGGGGTTCCTTGGAAGTGTGAGGGAGGAGTGGTGGGCATGGTGGGCATGGTGGGGCAGCCGGGTTGGATTTTTGAAAATTTGGTCCTGATAAGCGATATGATAGGGCCGCCGATAAGGTGCATGTCAGTGAGAACAGCAGTTTGGCCTTTGGGGCCTTTGGGGCCTTGGGCGCTAGAGGCGATTTTGTCGGCCAACGCGAGGCGGTTGCAGTGCCATGTTAGTCAGGGCGAGGCCTTGGGATGTCGGCAACAGTGGTTTGAAGACTTTTTTTTTCTTTTTTTTTTTTTTCGCTATCGCACGATGAGACCCTTCTTGCGTTCGTAGGCAGTGGTCTCACCGCTCAGGGGGGATGCATGCCCAGCCAATGTTGACAGTTCGAAATAAGCCTGACGTCACGGTCACATGACCTGTGGAGATGGAGCCTCTGTATGCTATCGAGTCCTGTGTATGCTATCGAGGCATGGTTCTGTGCATGCTATTGAGTCCTGGTGCATTAGGCGACAGAAGTACAGTGTGATATTGCCTAATAAGACATGGCATTCACATGGTGTCCGATGGAAAGGACATAAGAGGCCACCTCGAATTGCATCTCGAATTCACCTCTGCAAGCGTCTGGGGAAGGAGCACACGTTGGCAGTACATATTGGCAGTATTACCAAGTAACTCAAAACAATAACTAAAAACAACCGAAAGCCCAACCATGCCCACCCCTCACGACAGCTGCCGACTGCTGTAGTCCCGCAGAATCTGCACGGTCCCGTCAGCGCCGGGCTCGTACCGCACCGAGTGATTCGCATAGTAGGCAATGGGCAGCCTCTTGCTGCGGACGACCTCGACCAGCGTCGCCGGCGGCACCTTTTCAAACTCGCGCAGGTCCTCCCTCGGCACGAAGACGACGTCGACGTGGTGCCTCTTCTTGTCGTCGGCGGCGATGCACGCGAAGACGAAGAGGACAAAGTGGACGATCCTGGACATGGCACTGTTAGCACGGCGGCACGGGACATGGGAGACGGGAGAGGGCAGAACGCACGGCAGCAGCGCGTGGAGCACGGCAATGGTCAGGGTGCGCCGCGACGAGCTGGCCGTGTCGTAGCCGAGGGTGTAGATGTCCGGGCTGTACCAGTCGGGCCAGGGCGTGCGCTGGTAGACGTAGCTCTGCCACAGGAAGACGCTCAGCACGGCGCTGCCGAGCCAGATGGCGAGGTGGGCGGTGACGTGCAGGCACGGGTGGCCGAAGCTGAAGCGGCGGTCGCGGCGGTCGCGGTCGGCGTTGCGCCACCAGAGGCCGTGGTCGCGGACGATGCGGAAGACGATGTCGAGGGACGACCAGACGAGGGCGACAATGGCGGTCGGGGCGCCAAAGGCGGCGTTGACGTCGGGCTCGACGTCGTCGTGGGTGAACGAGTAGCAGATGACGGAGATGGCCATGACGGAGAGGATGATGGAGGTGACGCGCAGCACAAAGGCGGTACGGTGGGTGCTGCGGTGGTGGGGGACGGCCGTGTAGAAGGCGCCGCCGCGGGTATCTTCGGGTGTGGTGATGGAGATGCTGGCGGGGTCGAGTAGTGTCGTGTCTGTGGTGGTGTTGGACCGATTGCGCAGTGGTATCAGGTCCATCGTGTCGTCGTCTTGTTGGGCCCCTCTGAATTGCTTGTTCGCAAAGTCTGATGGGGCATGTCGTCCGACGGCGAAGAGGATGCGCGGGTCTGGATTTCAATTCCTGGGGAGCGAGCGCTGACCATTCGGCGGTTGCCGTCAGGGTGAGATGGAGCAGGCCATACGCGGGCTGGGCGTCGTCAAGTCGCTGTCGGTTATCGAGGGGCTCGCGATGCTCGGCCGGAGAGGTGGAGGTGGAGGTGGAGGTGGAGGTGAGGTTGGCAAGGCTGGTGTGGTGTTTCGGGACCAGCGGCCTGGCAGTGATGGCAGGGGACAGGTGGTGTACTGTATGCGCTATTGAGTTGGTGCGTGTTCAGGCACTTTCGCCTGCTCCCTTGTTACGGGGGGTATTCGCGAGGCTGACAGGTGGGCTTGTGGTGGGCTCGTGGTGGGCTCGTGGTGGGCTCGTGGTGGGCTCGTGGGTGGAAGGAGCACAGTGGGCCAGAGGCAAGGGACGAGGGAAAGGCGTAGGTGACAGGGACCGTCCCTCGCATGATCGGGGCGGCTCCAGTGGATTATTAGGGGTCAACCCCTGGAAGGCTCGGGACGATAGGCCTGCAAGGCTCGGGACAATAGGCCTGCAAGGCCGCAGGCCACCTGGGGGCCATGAGGTGCCTACCTGCTGCGCCACAAGCGGCTCCAGGGAATGAAAGGTGCATCACAGACGTGGCTGGAGCTTTAGGCATCAACATTTGACTTTGCTGGCGCCAAATGCTCTCAACATCCGGATGTCCCGAGCACGTCTGGGCTTGATCGTCTGTCTCCTGTGCTTGCTTGGGTCTTTTGGGACTTCCTTTTGGGACTTTGCTCCCTCAGGATGTTTCATTGATCTCCATGAGCCCTCGTTGGTGGCCTCGTGCTATAGCAGGGACATGTATACTTGTACTTCTACCTCAGTACCTCTGCTTGAGGCGTGGGCTCAGATACCTACCCA